ATGAATCATATAGATTGATTGATCTGGGATCGGTAGATCGCTGGATCAGGCTGTGGATCGATGAATAGGAGAATCTGGAGACCGATGGATCTATGGATCGTTGGATCCATTAATCGATGGATCTATGGATCGATGGATCGCTAAATCGATGAATCAGTAGATCGGTGGATCTGTGGATCGATAGATCTGTCGATCGTTGGATAGCTAGATCGATGGATCTGTGGATTGGTGGATCGCTAGATCGATGGATCGTCTGATCACTAGATTGATGGATCTGCGGATCGTTGGATCGCTGGATCCCTTTAATGATGGATTGCTGTATCTTTGGATCGCTAGATCGATGGATCGTAGGATGAACGCTTGTCGCAAAATACTGTTTCTCGAATACATAGAAACTTAAAAACAGATTTGAAGGTAATTTATTGGTTGATATCAAAATACTTGAAGCATGACGACCGTTGTTTGTATTTCACAAAAGATAATTTTGTTTTCAGTCAATATCGCATAAGCCTGGTAATGGATAGGCCTCATTTCCAAAACAAAGAGCATAAAGCTTATGATATCTTTATGGAGAAACAAACACGCTTCCAGCCTTGTTACGAATACGTCTTTTTGGGGTTAAGGAATAACTGTACATATAGTCGCTGTTTTCAAAACAGCACACAGTTGTCGGTTCGGAACGTTTTGTTCGGCGATTGAAGTTTTTGAATTGCATTTTTCTGAAAGGTAAGATGCTCTACAATCCCAAATATTTCGTTCGTTTTGGCCAGGTTCTAGTCAGTTAGAGTATGGTCCCAAAAGAAGGCATATAGTTCTACGCATACAAAAAAATACTGTATGTGCCATGTTTCAGAAGTGCTCGTTTAAGTTAGGACGTACTTTTTATTTAATGAAACATCGACGCCGCTGTCAACAGATCGGTTTTGCCAGGTGCAATTTTAATTGGATTCAAGAATTTGGGAACATCTTTTTCATTGTTCCCAGCTTGTTTCGTCCTGTCGGCCCCATCAGCCTATGTATCTCTCTTATTTTGACTCTTAAACTTGAAAATCGCGCAAGATTTCTGTCTTAGGAGTCTTCTTGCTGAGATAACTGATGGTAATTATAAATTGTGAGGAATTAGTTTCTTTTAGTGGCAACAAAAGCGGCCTTTATGGCTTATCCACATATGCAAATTTTTCACTTTTTTCACAATGTAAGACGCGTGTTGTCCAATTAACTTTTGTGTACACAGACCTTACTTCAATTTGGCGGTGGGCTGATAAAACTTGCAATTCAAATATCTTTACTCGCTTGTTGAAATCCGAGGTAAGCTTTTTACTTTACATGTTTTGTTTATTCTTTTATCGGCTTTAAAAGAGGCAAACTTGGTTTATCATAAGGTGTTAGCCTTAACCCTTAGGGCTTATTACTTAAAAATAATTTTGTTTTTCTTATTTCGCATAATAGAACGTTTTCGTCTCTCCGTCTTCCAGCGCCTGTCGAAAGAAATTTACCATACTAATGAGTTACTGATTCCTTTTACATTTTGTCAGTGTGGGAATACCTTGATCAAAGTTTGTTCTGTTAAGTGAGCACCGGTTACCGCCTACAAATGTTTTGCCCCCGGGTAGCCCATCAAGAACCTCAGCAGGGAAACCATAACAACTCAACATGTTACGAAAATACCTTTCTCTTTGATATTTTACGTGTGTGAATAATTATTTAATTGCTACCATATTGACCCATATTGATAGGGAGAGGCCGATCTGAAATCCGAACCAAGTTATTTGTTAGTGACTCTGAACTCGCCAATCGAGCGTTAAAATTCACTTTTTTACCTATAAAATTTAACCTGAATACACTGTACATGTACCAAAAATTTATGCAGCAACCATTATCTGGCCTTTGATGGTTTGGTATTTAACACACGAAATATTGTACAGGCATAGTAAGTGGGGACCGCTTACCGTGTCGGATAAGCGAGTAAACCATATTACAACCCTTAACATCACGTATTTTGCGATGTAAAATTTTGATGGGAGGGAAAATTGAAAAAACAGTGTAATCCTCAGCCACGGAGCCACCATGTTAACTCTTGAAGTCTTTTGAAGTGACCAACATCAATATTCTCCTAACAATATCGAAATATAATCACGAGAAATGCTTCGAGAATAAAAAGTGATCACCAAAGGGAAAATGCTTTGCTCTTCTATCAAATTCGCTCGGCAAATTCGTTAAAAGAATGTATGGAGGTCGGTAGGCTGATTTAGCAACAGACCGGGAACGTCAGTTGACGACGGCGCACGCAAATCAAACAGCTGGCCTAACCAATGGCAGAGCGACAAATTGGGCACCGGAAGTACATACGACCGCCAGTCGTTATAACCATTACAACCATTTGATTGTAGTTTGGCCCTAACAAAATACCAGTCATAACTTCATTTAATTTGTTTATGATAAACCTTATTCACTATACCCGTCATCTTAACATGCGCTTTAGGATCGATAGAATAAAAGATATGGTAGTGGATGTCGATCTCTCCGGCGCGCTTATTCTTTCTTTTACAGTTTTTTAAATAAATACTACTCCGTTGCACCAAGTAAAGGCTTTTGTTCATGATTTAGATAAAAATAATCTCTTGCTTTTCCCTTTAAGATAAAAATGAGTGCAAAAAAGAACAAACCCCCGAAATTGGATTTACAGTCAGAGGACTTAAAGAGAGATGAAATGGCAGAAAAACAAAAGAACAACTCAAACGTACCGTCTGTGAAAGACATGGACAAGCTTGGCAACTTAAAGCCGCCTCTTAGCCCTCTCACAAAGAAGTGGTTTCGTAAACAGTTTGGTATTCGCAAAGACATTAAACAGCTTGAGGTTGGAGGAAATGTGAAGAGCCTGGGTACCACATCATTTCAAAATAGCCACCGTCGGTCAAGTTCGTTACCAGATCTCGCTTCCATGTTGGACGCCGCAAGCCTGAAGAAGCATGGGTCTTTTATTTCACGGACAAGACCCGGCTCGGTGAGACTGGGTGCAACAGGGAAAGAACCGATCTTATCACAGTAAAAAGAAAGAAGTAGATATGGATTATGTGATTCGGTTTGACTGTGATTGATCGAATTAGTTGTGAGGGAAGGAAGCTATTGAACTTACACAGGCTACTCAGTACACATGTTGAACTTGGGATGCCTGTGTGCCATGTGCAGATACAAATTAAAATATGCAGAGGGCATGTCATACCATACTTTCTTTGCATAAATATACCAAACTTTACGATACTCATTAAGTCCAAGAAAATGATACAATTTATGCTTGCATTGAGACAGTTTTAGTTGGATCAAGTTAACAGTATTTTTACTTTCCGTGAATTAATCTTCTCACGGGAAGAAAACTTGGTTTATTCAAAACAGATCATGATCGATTGTAATAAAGAAGGATGTATTGTTATCAAATACAATCCTGTGTTATAGAAACTTACAAGTCACCTCCAGAGAGTACATGAATGACTATTCAATGTATTATACCGAGTTAAGTGATTCAATTGTCTTGTTCATTCCACTGAATTTGCAATAGGTCAATATAATTTTGTTAAGTGAAGAACAAAGGAACCAACTTTAATTAAGAACGTGATTAACCTGAGACTGGTCTTCTGATAGTATACCAAGAGGTTGAAATAAATATGATCATCGGGCACGTTCTGACAATCTCGATGAGAATCTCTCATAAGGGGCCCCGACGACGTTTTAGTGTCAGCTATACAAGGCGAGTTACTATAAGCCATACAAGGCGTTCTGATCTATATCAAACAGAACCAATTAAAACAAGTTAAACAAAGACGTCTTAGCTAATTTTAATTTATTGTTCGCAATTACACTGCAGTAATCCACAACCTAGGAAGAGGAAAAATACAAAAGAATTCCTTAACTAAATTCTCGTTTTTACTTAGTGAATGTGGCAGCTTTCAATGTCGTTACTGGCATACTTAAGTGAATTCAATGATACAAACAAACCGGTGTAAACATAAAACAACATTTCATACTGAATCCATATAACGATTATTTTTTTAAATATGGTCTTAACTTTGGTTTAAACAGCCACTTGAGCAATCTGGTGTGGTGTTTTACACAGTCAAGTGTTTTACTTACTTGAAAACCCAACGCAATGAACTTAACCCGGACGTCCCGGTTGTGACCGATGAAATACCTGAAAAATTTCCACTTGTTTCTTAACTTTTCAGAGTGTAATGCTTTTTCTTCTTCACTGGCTATTGTCTCGTAAGTAGCGACACGTCTTAAGTTTGTCCAATATTTCCGATAAATCCGGCAGCGAGATCGAGCGACGCCTTGTTGCTTCAAATTTTGGATTGCCCATTGTAAGACTGATTTCTCTGGTTACTTTATTTCCTTCGCGTTGCTTGCCGCTAGAGTATAGTCTATTGAAAACGCTTTCTTTTTTAACTTCCTTAGCTTTTGTTTGCTCTTTGGATGAAGAAACAGGCCGCAACAAAAGCCCTCGATGTACTTCGCTCCCGGCCGCATCTTTGCTCGAAGAAGCTGTTCTTGGCCGTTGTGGAAGGTCAAACTTAAAGACCCCAGAGGCTGCTCCAGGTGGATGGGTGCTTGACCCTAGCAACCTAGGCGAGAACTGTTGTTTACCCTCGGCGCTATTTTCTCGCCGCAGATCTCTCGTACTTTCTGTCGAATTAGTACCAGCTGTGGGCACCTGTGACGAACTGAATTGCCTTATTAGGTTCTTATGACTGGGAATATAAGATTCCAGTGGTGACTGCGGCGCGGAATTTGGCGAACCTGCCATTCTTATCGAGGTCGCTCTTCTAGTCCTGGGCGGAGTAGCGATGAGGCTAGCTTGATCCAGCTGTAGCGGCGGCAAATTAGAAGCTTTATGGAGCCGTGTGGACTCTTCATCTTTGTTTGAACTCGCAGTTAAGTTATAAATGTCTTGCTGAAATACTGGTGTTCCTGATCTTACGCCGTCAGAAGCGATTGGTGACTTACCGAGTCCACGGCCCCGCGGTGACGGTGATCCGAAAACAACTTCGTCTTTTTTCATTTGCAAATTTAACAGTCGCAGGTCCCTTTCGGCTTCCAAATGTTTCACCGTTTTCCCAAGTAAATGATTTCGTTGTGAGTTAACGTTAATGGCGTTTCGCATTGAAAAACTTACTTTATTTGTCACAAGGTCATCCATTTCAAAATCTGTTCCTCTGAGATCGAAGACAAGCACGCTGGTGAAACGTCAGTGATAATCAACGAAAATTCGGTAATTCTGAAAATACGATGATTTTACAAAGCAGATGTTTTACCTTTTGTGAGCACAATTTGTTTCCCTAAAAGGCGTTCACAATAGGACTTTGCCTACAGGATTATGCATGCTCTATCACAGTACAGTGATCAGATCATTAAAATTGTTTGCACAAACGCAGAATTCTGATTGGTTTATTAAAGTTTGTGTTAATAACAAAAACGTTTCTATCGGTCATCGGATGTGCTAAATAAATTTACTTAGTTTTGAAGCGAAACCTGTGAAGCCAAAAGCAGCTACCTAAATTAATAACTTCAAATTTTAAAAGATACAAATGCATTTCTATTTACTCTTGTTGCATGGTAAATTAACAGTCAAGTCAATTCAACCTGCTAAATTTGGGCTTTTTTTTTACCAGATCGGGGACTTCGGGGTCTCTTAGTTCTTTCATTTGTCTTAATTTTGTAATCACCAAACTTGCGAATGAAATTATTCACAGTTCAGTACAGGTAAATTTACGATTGGATTTGTATTTTTCTGAAAAAAAAATTGATTGTTATTGTTTCTCTGTAGTGAAGTACAAATCACACGATAGAGGAGTTATTCACTGCAACTGAAATAATTATTCTACAGATTCTTTATATAGTTATTTTTTACAAGATTCTGTGCATATGCGCTTTTTTTTCTACAAAATGGACATTAGGCAATTTTCTTTCAAATTTAATTTAGGAAATGTCGAAACTGGGTGCTAATTGACTTGAATTTACATCTGAATCGCTCTCGGTTTACTATTGTACCTCATCCACAAAGAGGTTGCAAAACTGACGTTTCGCAAATTTTTTTGCATTACTGTTTTATGATAATTACAGTTGAAAATCTTTCTTTAAAGAACAACTTTAGGTCCAGAAATTCCCGACTCCTGGTCAGGGAAAACCCCTGTTTTGATTGTAGTTTAATTTGGTGAATTCGAAAGGCCTTCTCATTAATCGTTTTAATTACATTTTATTGAAAAAAAAAATCGTTTATATTTTAAGATGAGGTCGAGCTTTCGCCCGGCCTTCTTGACTTGCCCGTAACGAGAGAACTCGAAAATGTTTTTGTTCAATCGAAAGTGAAAGGAATTTGAATGAATTGAACGCGAGCTACATGTTTGGACACGTACGGCTGGGGATTAGTGGTCACACATACACGAAGTACACGAAGTACGCCTACTTTACGGCAAAAGATGTTGTCGAGTTCCTTAAAAAATGCGATTGATTTAGCCTGTTCCTGGCGTTTACATGGTGGAGTGATCACGTCTCTTTGCGGCGTCCTCACGGTCTGAACGCCTGGTGTAGGCAGTTTCCAAAGAACTCAACGGCATCTTAAGTATACACCAACCACTCTCCCGGGGGCCTTTGCACTAGCTCTCAAGCTTTACTAAAAACGTAATACCGACTTCTACTTGGCAGGGAGTCGTTAATTGATTTGTTTAAGTCTATTGCTCCTAAGATATATAGAGAATAATACATGGTCGCGCGGAGATATGGAATTTATCTTCGAGTGTTCACATCGATATCGAACGAGTGAGCGCAGCGAACGAGTGAGATATCGAATGTGAACACGAGAAGATAAATTCCATATCTCCAAGCGTCCATGTATTATTCTGTTTATTATATAAACATACTGATGACGGCGTTTTTGATGATTTTCCGAAGATTTCCGAAGATTTTTCAAATTGTCCTGAATACCAGACGAACGTTCCCGAACATTTTCCGAGAATTTCCGAAAATTTCCGAAGATTTCCGAAGATTGCCGAGCACTTTCGAGGAAGACCCGAAGATGTTTCGATGATACACCAACGAATTTGAGTACAATTTAAGAGACAAAGCTGATGTCAGTGAAATTATCGATATCTTCACATGTAAAAATATCGTATTTTTACGTCTGTTCAGATACCACATTTCTCGGTGGTAGAAATCCTTGTAAAACACTGCAGTTTATATAATAAAAGGTCTTAAAGCGTAATTTAGAACACGCAAATGGCTCAATTAAATTGCATCGTGCGCAAATCGCTAAAAACGTTACGCGCTCAAAACGTTGCAGTGGTGAAAGCAGTTTTTCTACATTCTGCAGATTGCGCGAAATAAATTTCATTACAAATGTTGACGTAACACTGCGTGAAATAAAAGAACTAAATTTTCAATATTAAATATGGCACGTTTTGTAATCGCTCACTGAGCATGCGCAGTTGTAGCGTTAAATCCACCAAGCCACAAGAATAGGCCATTTGGTGGATGGCTTCATTTTTCTACTACGACCAGAATCGTTTACCGTTTCCATTCATGCATTTTCAAATTTGGTAATCCCGATGAATTTTCAGCAAAAGTACTAATTTGCACAAGAAAGCAAAACCCTGAAGGATTCTGGTCGTATAGTAAAATGATGTCATCGTGTAAATGGCCTACTCAGGAGCCCATCTGGGCTCCTACCTACTAATTTAAAATTTATTTGCCAGAGTTGTTGTTTCAGCTCGTGCCTTTACCGGCTATCGACAAAAACATATCTGCACGCTTATGACATAAAAAGTTTCTGACAAATGGCCAGTTACAAAGTTGTGCAAGTTTATTTCAAGATCAACTAATCAACATGAAACTTCTTTCAAGTATATTAAGGTCAGGAACGTACCCTGGATGCCAGTCCGGTTTCGGTCAAGTCTTAAAAAAGTTCCCCTGTTTGAAACCCTGAAGGATCCTGGTCGCATAAGTAAAATGACGTCATCATTCAATTCGCCGTGTCTTCAGCCGAAGGCCAAAAATAAGTCGACCTGCGGCCGATGAACCTCCTCGTCGCAAGAGAGAAAAAACCTCTGGAACCCAGGGTAACAGGAACTTTGTTACCATTTTGATAGATGTGGGTCGATTATTTCGGCCTTTTTTCTGGCGTGACGAGATAAAATTCAACATGGCGCGAATTTTTAACTATGACGTAATGTTTTTTTTTTCATGACAATTCATTGCAGTTGGGGATAATTCGTCAATCTCTACTTTAGATACGAATAGGAAAATGGGTCAAGTTAACTTTCA